TAAATAGAAACATATTTCCAAAATAAAATTGGCAACACATTGATCCTTTATCATGGAACGAACTGTCAATATTGCGCCTTTTGGATGTGAATACGACTGCCTTTATTTCCTTTTTCGATTATCGGTAAAAGGTGCAGATATTATTGTGAGGAACCTCAACCACAGTCTCATGTCCGATAGTCACCAACAAAACAAGAGGCCCGTGAGTCTGTGGTTCGGTCATATTTGAACTTATAATCAAACGGTGGCGGATTCGAGCCCCAGGAGTTGTAAAACCTGAGGTCGGATGTAAGTAACTGGTGACGGTATAAGTTAGAAATTTGCATTTCAGTCTCTTCTGTCAGTAATTTTCTCCTGCCCATGTTACCAGTCGGTCTGCGGCTACTGAAGCTCGGATTGCACCCGATGTTTATGTTCTGTCAGCGCCACGATTCAGTGTGAATGCCAGGTCCTGTCTGAGAATGCCTATTTTGCATAAAAGACAAAAGACAACCACTGGAGAGTGACTTACGGGAGTGTTATTAATAAGGCTATAGAGGTGTGGTCCGGCAGCGGGGAAGGACGCTGAGAAAAATAAGTCACACATTTTGCACGAGTTGTGCTTTGCGGACAATAGTAAACATAATTCAGTCGTTTAATAAAACTAAAAGTAGAGAAAACCGCTAATCGCTAAATTGCCATTATCCTGCCTATGTTACTAGTCAGTCTGTGGCTGCTGAATTTCCGAAATCTCAAAGCCTACGTGCTTCCCACAGCGACGAAGTAAAAATTTTGGGAAGAAAGTTAAGAAAAATAAGTACAAAAATGTTGCATGAAAGTTTTTTTGGTAAACATATTTTAGCTGTTTTGTGAGAAGAAAAGCAGAAACAGGTCACTTATCAGTAAATTGAGGGCGAATGAACTTATGCCTTAGTTCACTAGAAGACTCTTGTTCTGGAGCACCTTAAATTAACTAAATATGCTTACATTTTCATTTATTAATTTGGTACGTCACTCAGCGTGATTTTATTAGGATGTTCTGCCGCCTACCTTAATAGCAAGTTATTCTTTAAAGTAAGGAAAAATTACAAAACCTTAAGGCTGATGCCTAAAGGTCCTATTATGGAATTCTTTGTTTATTCGTCCGATCAGCATCCTAAGCCCCTTTAAAAACTAAAATTTTGCAAAAGCATTTTTCTTTTTATGGGTAGAAAATGGCCTGCCGTACTCCGAACACCTTTTCCCTTTTTGCCTAAACAAACGGTTAATTCCAATGCTGTCCTAATTTATTTTTAATAAAAATAACGTCTGAATCGATTGTCCAGGTAAACAGTTGTTTATAAGAGGCCGTTGTGTGATGTTCCCAATTATGTATTTCTAAGCACTGGACTCTTATCCTCTCACGTCTTCTATAATGGAGCCCATTATATTTTCAAAATATTTGAGGAGGAGAAGAAGAAGAAGAAAAAAAAGAAGAAGAAGAAGAGCTGACTTCATGCACTCTGTTTCTTTCACAGGTAGAGACTGGACTGCAAGAAAGTTTCATTCCTTTCAAAGGTAAAGCGTTGCCTGTTCAACTCTAACCTAAGCAATTAATCTAGGTGACGAATTACGAAAATAGTCTTAAGAACACATGTAGAATATAAAATAGATCGGCTACACTGTTAAATGAATACTCCAGGCCGCATAGTTCACAAGTTTGTCGTCTATTACGTCGGTGTGCACCGTGTGCTACAAACCAAGGTGCAACAGGCACAGGAACTTCCGCAGAAATTATTTTACAGTGACTGTAGACTTGCATAGCACATACCGCACGCTCTCGTCCTAACTCCCTAGCTGCTTTGGTGTCAAGACAGAGTCAAAAAGCCCAGAGGCTAGAGGGGCGCAGATGGCTGGCACGGTCGGACCCGCGCCTAGGCATGCCGCAATGAGGACAGGCATAGACCAGGTCCTCATCAATGGTGTTAACGGTGGTAGTATTGCTTTTTGTTGGTTGGCTTCGACGATTGTTGCGTCTAGCTTCGGCTAGCCACGTTCACCCTGCAAGCACCACTCGCGGCCCATGTCGTCTCACCTTGCCGTGATGATCACAACACGAGTACTTCATTAAATGGGCAACGTAGCGGGTGTTAGTACCCCTGCGTCACCTATAAACCCTGTGATATTCTCATAATTTTTAATTCTATGCCATTTTTGGATCGATTATAGGTTACCGAGGACACGTGTGTGTCCATCAGACTTTTCAGATAAAATATAATTACCTAGTAGATTGAAATTAACTGATTAAACCACTGCCGGCTAGTTTACGTGGGGTCAGCCTCCAAGGTATTACTCAGTCATTAGGCATGGACGATGACAAATTGCGGGAGGTGGCAGTTAACAAATGTCTCCTTGCGTAAAAGTAAGCAAATGCGAGACACTCTGCAAGTGCGAAGCAACCGATGTAAATAAAATATGGTGCTGATAAAAAGCTATTAACAGCTCTTGTATGTGGTAAGGGATTGAATGGAAGAGAGTGGAAAAAGAAGCGTGCCCTATACAAATGTTATATACTTTTCCTATCTCAAACGCAGGCCAACAGTGTAAACCAGCCTAAAAGTCAGTCGATCCTGCCGTGATTTGCGCACAACGGCTAAATATTGTCCGGATAGTGGGTTTCTGCCGAGTATGCATGTGGATGGAGAATGAGACGGCACACTGACGGTTTGGTCATCAGATGTGATCATTGTGACCTAAGAAGGACTGGGTCAGGTGATTAGCATAGAGGAATATTGTGAAGGTTTGCCCCATTGGGGGAAAGAGAGTAAAGCATTGGCTGGACGACATTGAAGTAGCAATTTAGATGTCACTCAGTGGGACGTAGTGTGTTTAGCACCACTTGTAAAGCAAAGAAGACAAATCGGCAGTTCACGTTGATACGTGTAGATAGATGAGACAGTGATAGAACGTTAGCATGCTTGGAAGGTAGTTTGGGGCTTGTTGGGATGTACGATATTTGAGCATAAAAGGCTGTCTTTGATTCATTAAACCCGGCGGAGACTAAGACTCATAAAAACAAAATTCGTCGCAATGGGTATTGTAATAATAAAGTATAAGTGGGATACCTACACTTACAGGGAGTGACCTATCTCATGAAATGTTGACTGAAATTCTGAAACGTGTTTTTGATTGGAAAGGATTACTTAGGCGCGGTTGTAATACTAATTATCTTGCGGCATAATCGTATAGTATTTTGGACTGTGTGGTATGTCGGCTTTTAAATATACTGCCTTTTAATTTCCTGTAAAAACTTACTCGGAAAAAACGACTACTTAAGTAGCATGCATTTTTCGCATTGATTTTCGATGGCCTTTTAAATTTAAATATCTCTTATAGAAACCATAAACAAAAATACGCTTTCTTCCAGCAATTAATAGACAATCACGTCTTCTTTAAATGTTATACTTAAGAAAGGAGTATAATTAGGTTTTAAAAAGTTTCTAATTATGAGATTTTTTAAGACCGCGCAATGTCCATTCACATAGCATTGTACCTGGCCGTTTATGACAGATCCTCGTGAAATGTACAACATAGTCCGAATCCATTGCAAAATTTTATAAACTCTATATGATATCTTCTTAAAGGCATAGAGGTATATTTGATTTTCCTTATGTAGAAAGCATGCACCTTGCAAACTTAAATCGCTTAACGCTAATGCAATGGCAGATCTGGCTCAAAATTATTCGGAAATTGGAAAACCTTTTTAAAACCTAATTATAATCCCTCCTTAAATAAAAAATATAAAGAAGACGTGATTGTCTATATACTGACTGAAAGAAAACGTATTTTCATTTATGATTTCTATGAGATATATTTGAATTTGCAAGACCATCGAAAATCAATGAAAAAAGGCATGCTACTTAAGTAGTCATTTCTTACCGAGTACGTTTTCTACGGGAGATTAAAAATATGTGTGTTTAAAAGCTGACATCCTGCCGAGTCCGAAATACTATACGATTAAATCGCAAGATAATTAGTGTTACAACCGCACCTATGTAATCCTTCCTAATCCAAAAGACGATTCAGAATTGCGGTCAACATTTCATGAGATAGGTCACTCACTGTACACTGCCACAGAAAGATAAGAACACCATAGGACAGCCAACTCCACCAACTTTTTTCAGTCAACAACTGGGCGGCATACGAATGGCATAAAAGACTGTCAAAGCTACCTGAACAGAAGCTGCGCAAAGGCGTCCCCCTCTCAGGCAAAGGTGTATGGCCCCACGTTGATAAAGTACACTGTCGTCTTTGGTTTAGGCTTAGCACTAAGGACTTAAAGAAGACCTAGAATGACTTCCTATCCAGCGATAAAGCACTTGGAGCAAGCCCCTAAGTGACTCACAGCCTGTGAGTGAACTTTTCTATGCCTGCAGTTATTTCAACTGTCACAACGGTGAAGTGTTATGTGAGTGATCTGCACCGTTATGTGCAGAGGTAGGGAAGTTGGTCCTAATGGTTACCCAATCACGAGGGCGATGCTGGATGTGAGGATAAGTCTAGAATACGCCTGTAGGATACCTTAAATTGTAAATAATTTACCTTTTACTGAAACTCTACATATGAGGGTGAAGATATTCATGAAGCAGCGCGTCCTCAGAGCGGTTTAGCTCACAGCGTATCATTCTGTCGAGGATGAAGTCGTCGATTTGCATGACCGGTTTCCAACTAAAAACTGCGCCGAGCAACGCCTACTTAGATGAATGTAGTAGGCGGTTTTGCATAGTAAACCACCTCGACCTCATCTTTTAAATAATACTATTATATTGTCTTCATGCGAGTTGCGACAGCAGGTAAAATCAATGAACTAATCCGTGCAGTAACTTTTACCTTTGATAGTGATGTTTTCGACAATAACCTACTTTTATCTAATATTAACAACTCCTCGTCTGATTTCTAGTGGCGAATGCATGCCTTAGAGTATGGATAACGTTCATTAGGTCAATTATCTCGAGCGGCAAAATATTTGAAACTGTAAATTTTCAACTATGATAGAGCGTCCTTATACAACTGCGTTTGTGGCTGATTGGCTGGTTGCTGTTGAAGTTCAGTACTTGCATCGTATTTGTCGCTTTCCTGAACACTTTGGTCTTTAGTCCACCACAATCCTTGCGGCACACGAGGACATCCAGGAAGGCCAGTTGGTTGTTCTCTTCTTCATCCATCGTAAATTGTATGTCCGAGAAGACCGCGTTCAGACGTTCCTTGAATGTCAGCAGTTGATCCCGGTCGATAACGACGAAGGTATCATCCACATACAGGGCCCAGAACTTCGGTTTGTGGTGTTGGAAGACCAGCGATTCTAAACGTTGCAGGACCGCCTTGGCGATGAACCCTGAAATCGGCAGACCCATCGGTGTGCCCTTCACCTGTTTGTAGATTGTCCCCTCCAACGTGAAGAACGTCCTGAGACAGAACTTCAGGAGCTGAAGGACTTGGGCGCGTCCAAGACTATTCTCCGTTTCATCGTATTGGCTTTGTAGAAGCAGCTCGATTGTCTCGATCGTCAGGTTCTGGATCCCCAGGTGTGGCTGAGAACCTTTGTCATCAAGCATAAGAATAACGGTCCTTTATCATTGTACAGAGCTGGGCTTTCACCGGTTTTTTCATAAAAGCATTATTCATATTGACCCAACTGTGAAAAACTCGAGGCCTTGTAGCTCAAGTGGTTAGAGCGTTGGCTGCTCTAAAGCCATCCACTTGCTGCGTGGGTTCGAATCCCACCGATGCGCCGAGTTTTTCACAGTCGGGTCAATATGAATTAGTCAAAATCTGTAAAAATACCAATGAATAAAAGCATTAATAAGTATTTGTACATGGTGCGATACCATCGCAATACTGTTGATCTGGGGATAAAATTGACCATCAAATCTTGATTGAGCAGAGAAAGAGCATGTTCCTTAAGTCTCCAACCGGCATTATGACATGTAAATCTAGCCGTAAAATCTCGTCATATAAAACGTGTATAGTTTTATTGAGGGGAAAGTTAAAAAAGACAGATCGCCTACAGGCGGCATAAATTTCTTATTAAGATATGCATGCCCTGTAAAATCAGCAAATCAAAACGTGTCGAACCGGCTTAAACCTTTCTGTCGTACACTAAAAATTGCATGAATGGGAAATAACCCCTGTCTAACATCGAACGCATCGGAAGGTCTGGTTTATGAATCTTTAATATAGACTGGAAAGCATTGTGCCCGTGGGTTTAAGATATTTGAACTGTTACTCATTTAATAAAGTTTGATCCTTCAATTTCCGCAGTTTTGTAAGGTGTGCTTCTATGTTCTCGGTTCGGCACTCTCTTTGCCCCTCCCCTTTCAAACGTCATGTAATCTGCGGCGATTAGTTTTGTTGTTGAAACTTGAAAACTTTTAGTTATGAAAACGAGACCAAAAACTGTTTCCGGTTCGGTGAAGAGTATTATTTGTTTTTACATAATTATCTTCGAGAAATGTTCTTTCATAATATGCCCGATTATGATTTTTCCTCTAAGGAACCTGAACCGACCATTCAACAGTTTCGATTTGAAATACTCGTTTTTCCTCGGCGTAATGGAAACTAGATCCTTTATCTGATTCAACAGACATTCAAACTGAACTTCCGCCACGACACCGTTTGGTCTGTAATTAGGAAAACCAAACTTCTGATAGTGCCTCAATCTCTTATTTTTTGAGAGCCAAATTAGTGAAATCATGTGCGTACTGCTCGGAAGCATCTGAACAGTTTCCTTGCGTGCTTCGGTTCGATATTAAGAAGAATCATTATAAATTTCAATGTCATCCATCTAAACAAAGCTGCTAATTTTTTTTCATTCTTATTTAGTTGGTTCGTCTGATATTGCCAAACGTTAACGCATGCTGATTTCCTTTGCTGCAATTTCAATTCGGTTCTCAGCACACCTCTTTAAAGTTGTGATAGAAACAATACTGAGATTCAGTCTACGAATTCAAACGTGCCTCGTAAACTGCATGGCACTACTCTGTACCGAATCGGCTTAAACTTCTGTCGGTCGTTTAACAAATACATGGTAAGGAGAATAACCAAATTATAATATCGGAGGTATCGGAAGGTCTGGTTTATGAATCGTTGGTAAACTACATAGATTTGAAGGCAGAGTGCTTGTAGGTTTAAGATCATTGAACTGTTACTAATTTAGAAACGCTTAATCCTTCAATTTTATCAATTCTGTGAGGTGCGTTTCTATGTTCTCGGTTTGGTCCTTATTTTGTTCCTCGCTTTCGAATGCCGTGTCATCCGCGGCGATTTATACTATTTTCGAAGCGTAAAACCTCTTATATATGAACACGAAACCACAAACTCTGTCCGATTTGGTGACGAGTATTTCTTTGTTTTCACATAGCTCCAGTAGTTTCTAGAAAAAATCTTTCGTTATATGCCTGACTATTAGTGTTTTTTCGCAAAGGTACCTGTAACAACTTTTCAATACTATCTATTAGAAATACTTCTTTTTTCCGGTGTTAAAGAAACTAGATCCTTCGTCTGACTCAAAAGACAGTCAAAGTGAACTGCCGCGACTCCGATTGGTCTATGATTAGGAAAACGAAAGTTCAGCTACTGTCTCAATCTCGTATTTGTCGAGAGCCGACTTAGTGAAATTATGTACGTACCGCTCCGAAGCATTTGAAACCTTGCCTGTGTGTTCTTCGGATTGACATTGCGTAGAATCCTTACCAATTTTTATGCCATCCATCTCAACATAGCTGCGTAAGTCCCCTTGTGCTTATTCAGTTGGTTCGTCTAATATCGCCATACGTTGATGTAGATTGCCATATGGCTCGCTGATCTTCTTTGTGGCACTTTAATATCGGTTCTCAGCATATCTCTTTAAAATTGTGCTGCAGAGAATCGCACGATTCAGTCAGTATCACTCAGTATATGTGGAGTAATCGATAGAAGCCCTGAGGCCCTGTCTGGGGCTTAGGAAGAGGGGGTGAGGGAGTAGGTGTCTGACAATAAGCTGCTCTGATTTATCGTTAGGCAAAGACAAATTCAGCATGCGTGTTCACATCCGCCTCGTCGGTTCACAACGCTGAGACAGGAACAGCTAACCTCCAGACGCCTTACCCCTCCACCCTCCCCCGCCTTCTCTCCACCGCCCCTCCTCAGCATCTGACAGAACTAGAATCTGATCACTGACCTCTGAACGCCTCTTAACCCTGTCCCACATGTAGATTCTCATTGGATGTTTCATTCTTGGTATTCTGCCCTCCGTTATATTAAGTTCCAACACTAATGATGAATAATCAAAGGCGTATGTTTGCTGCACTCGACTTCTTAAATATTAAAATCTGCATATTCGCATATTCCATGCAACGGCTGGTGAAGTAATATCAAAATATTAAGACCGCTCATATAACATTTAGTTATTTTCTGGAGTCTAGAACAGCGTCTTTTCCAATCAGTAAATGTTGCATATGAATGCAAAACTTTGTCGGTCCGATTTTTGCTGACGGTGGCAATAGTTTGCGTTGTCGACGTCTTTAGTCGTTTGTAGTCTCAGAATCTTATCATAACGAGCAATTGCATCGAATGCCTGGGGCTATCTACAGTTGTCGCACTTTCATCGATGTACTATTTTCCTTCCTAAGCTACGGTAGTAATGGTGTCTAAGTTGCATAGTTCAAAATTATGGGTTACCGCTGGTGGTGCCGAGTAGGCATCTACGTTAAACAACGTCTGCTTAAGTAGAAGTGATTTGGTGTTGAGTGCAGCAATTTACTGGGTATCTCGCGAAGTTACGACTGTCCGCCTACTGACATGAACGGTTATACTAACACTAGATGTCATAGGGCAACCAAGAAAATGACACGTCATAATGGCTAAATACGGGTTTACGGTCCAACTACTTAGTGTAATCAGCGCCTGAGATATATCACAGTTTATCCATCCCGCAGTATTTTGTAAAGAATGGAGGACAAACTGCGTCTGAAGTCTCATTAATGCCTCTCAGTTCACGGCAGTCTACAGGAAACCAATGCATATTCTGTTCCCATTGTCGGCCACGTAAAGCATGAGACGGTAACTAAAAATTCACAATGCACCCTTTACTAGGTTGTGTCACAATGACGTTAATAGAATGCTGATTAACATACTTCCTTAACCCGCCGGAAGACTTTCACGTCAGAATATCGCTTTTTGAATGCTCGTCATTTATTCGACCTATAAACTCAAAAGGAGTGATCACTTATTGGGTTTACAATTTGTAGAAAGCAAATTTTGTTTCCTAGCAGTCAGGTCGTCTAGCATAAACGACGCGAACCCAAAAAACTCCATTTAACAACACAGGTGTGTATGAAAGGACTGTGGTTTAAGCCTCCGACTTAAAATGTGCCATAAACAAACTTTCACACATATAAAAGTTTGCACATACTAACCAACGCTGGCGTTCATGGAAGCCCTTAATGCTGCTGGTAAGCAGTACAGACATGGGTGAAAAGTGATTAAGTTGCAAGAACATTCGCATGTTTATCCAATGTGCAGGATGCAAAAAAGGTGACAGCGCGTTTGGGATATTCGCACTGTGAGGTTTTTGCCTGCGTCAGGGTTACTATGCACAGAGTGATCTGTTGAATTGTCGTTAGAAGCATGTTAATGGTCATTTCATTAATCCTTTAGCTCGATGTTCAGGAGTTCAGGTTGCCTATTTACGTGTGATTTTCCAGATTTCTCTTGAATGCAACCACGGTCAGGAAATTCACAACATACGCCAGCACAGAATTCCGTTGGAGAATGACTCTATGCGAGAAAAAGGAGGAACCTTGATTTGCGCGACATACTTCCTTTTTATGCTAGTAATTATGTCGTTTGAGACTGGTCTTTGGTGCCATGCCAAATAGCATTTTCAAGTCATCATCTAAATCTAGTCCTCTAAGCAACCGAAAGCTTGTCATACGGTAGGTTTCTGTCCTACCTGTAGTGGGAGAAAAGAGATTTAAGGCGGTCAGGCGTTGCTCGTGTATATAATTTTTAAGTTCATGACCAATTTAAGTAGCACCATTAAGAATATCTTTATCCTTTCAAAAGCACGACCGCCAAGCCCGTACCACACTGTCCAGATGAGGACTCTAAAATGCCACATATACCTGGTCAAAAATATCTACATTAAAGCTTATATATGATCTTCGTATGAAGCTCATGATTGACACTACCCGCGCTGCGTAGTGGCGCCTTCACCATCTTTAGCTTTAAGAAATGTTGCTTCGCGATTTCAAGTATAATACAATAGGGAGGTCTAATAATCTTTATGTATCTATTCGTGCAAGTGCCTTTTTGCTCGTCTATTGATGCTCTTTTGGCGAATAAACCTTAAGTTCGACGCAAAATTCTCTGAGAAGCGGATCACATAGTAACAATGAGGGAGATATGATTTTTTTCTGATTGAACGCAGCGTTTTGAAATGTGGAAAGTTCAATTAGGATTGAAAAGGTTAAAAAGTTCTGTAATCATGTAGCAACTAGGAAAAAGCATTCTTAATCCACATAATTTAATTCATCAAATATTATATGCGGAAAAATACTCAGTCACAACACGTAAG